ACGGTGAAAAAGCGACAGATACTCTGGCTTCCTCTCATGTTCCCCATGAAAAAAAATGGATGGATGCCAATGAAATCAACAACTAAATTGTTCATTTTGATGAGCATTTTCGTGAAATAGTTCAAACTTTGAATATCGTACATAGTGTGTGAAATATTTTCATGCATCCTCTCTCTCTCGAAAAATATATCATCTACTTCATTCGTAGTGTGTGAAATATTTCCATGCCTCCTCTCTCTCTCTCGAAAAATATATCATCTACTTCATTCATTCAAATGTGTACTGATCGCAGACCTTTTTTGGTGATCTTGTCCAGTTCCAGGTTGCACAAGTCCTCCACTCGCTCCCGTAGGTCGAGGATGGCATCCCGCACAGGTTCAAAAGAAGCATCATGGTTGACCTGCACAGCCGGAAGGTCTCCCGACTCAAGCGGACTGCACATGGTTTCATACATCTGAAAGGGATTGTGTGACTTTGAATTCCGTTTGGCCTTCCAACTCAGAGAGCGCCACCTTCGGCCTACGGGGAGTCGATCTCAAACCTGCAGGTAGTAGATGTGGTCCTCGCTTTGAGCCAGGTCCTTCATCTGAGTCTCCCTCCTCTGTAGCTCCTTGATCTCTGCCTCCAGATTCTCAGTCACCTCCCGGGCCTGCTCCATCTTCTCCCGGCCGACCTCATCCAGCACCTCCTCCAACAGTTCCTGGAGTCTCTCCACCGAGTGCTGGAGATCCAACAGCACCTTCTCGGAGTCGCTGTGAACGCGGTCTGCTGAGCGCTGTGCATGGACCATGAGTCAGTCACAGTAGAGGCGTGCCGGACGTCCCATCGCAGTCACGTTGGGGGCAACTAGAGGGTCTCAAGGCTAGTGATTCTCAAACTTTTAGACCAAGCGCCACAAAATTAACAAAAATATTTAGCTCAAAATAAATATATAGTTGAAGCATTCACACTGTGCATTAATAAAGGAAAACAAAACCAAAAAAAAAAACCCAATACTCTAATAATGATTCAATTAAAATGTGACCGCGATCTAACTTTTGAAACGTAGCGTATGTCATAAATAGTATAAAAACTGGCACTTGTCTTTTTAAAGGTCTTTATACATACCATACTTTAAAATTATACAAACAATTTAAAACACATATTTCGAGACAGCAAGAGTAATAGATAAGAAAAAATAAAAATATTTACATCCCGCTATGTTTAGAGTATTTTTTTTCTTTACCCCTAAACTAAGAAACTTACAATCTCACAATATCTGTCAATAATCATATTCAAAGATGTACATGAATCTACAGCCGTTGCTTTCCGTCGGCATAAAATGAAGGATGGAAAAGGACTGAAACATCCAATAATCTCTTTCTAAAATCTTCAAATTTTGAAATAATTCCTATTTTCTCTCTTTTTCCTTCAAATTTACAGTGAATTAACAATAGGGTGCCACCACCTAATGGCTGAAAGTGGAATTACACCCAAAATCAACAACAAAATTGAGTTCGAATTGGTCAAAATAAAATCTGCTTAATAGCTGGAACACGAACCCAGAATCCGCCATGGAGGAGATGTTACTGTTGGAGAGTTTACCTTCATGCCATCCATCATCTTCTTCATGTCCTTCAACTCCTGCTGTCTATCTTTGAGTCTCCTCTGATTTTCCGCCTGCATCTCGGAAAGCCCTTTCTGTCATCGAGCGAAGAGGACAACCAGAGACATGAGTCAGACGCCGCAAGAAAACACCAGAAGAGGAGTGTGAGAAGTGAACCGGAATGTCGTTTGGAATGTGTGCCACCAGGCTGGTGTCGATGCAAAAGCGTGGGCAGTACTTAATCCAGTGGTTCTCAAAATAAAGTCCAGAAGCCATATCGCATACAAATTTAAATAATGACATTTGAAAAATTGCTGAGCGACGGTTATGGGGAACCGCACGCCGGTAAAACAAACGTACTAAACCAGTTGGTCCTCCCTATGCTAGCTCTGGCCGATTGAAGGCATTGCTATGTCTGTGACGTAGCATCAAACAAATCTCACATCTCTGGATGGGCAACAGGCGTTTAAATTACAGGAAGAGATTCCCGTTTCTTTGTTGATGACAAAAAAAAATTATTTTTTGGAATGAAAGGTGCAATGTCTATCAACTTGTCTTCCTGCCATTCACTCGTGTTATTTTCTTCTCTGTGAAACTTTGACTCTGATATCATAATATCTTGATTTTATTCTGGTAAGATTTCCGCTTATTTTCCTGACAAATTACCACAATTTCCGGACTACGGAGCGCACCTGATTATAAGACGCACCCACTACATTTTTCAAGGAAAAAACATTTTGGACACACACAAGCCGCACTTGTCAATAAGCCGCAGGTGCCCACATTGTAACATGAGATATTTACCAAGAAAGAGGCTACACAGAAAGCGTTTTCAAAGTTTTTAGAACATAAATGTGTTCTTGTAATGTGGCAGGCAGCACCATGGCAGTAAAACAGCACTAACAGGGCTGGTTAAAAAAAAAAAAAAAAATTTAAAAGATACCGTTCCCTGTCAAGTTTTTTTTTTATATGAAAAAATCCTCGCTTGCCGTAATACTCGGTCATGAGACTTTCAACTTCGCATTCGTGCCAACTTTCACGACAATGTCTTTTGGAAGTTTTTTTTTTCTTTTTTCCTTGGTGGATGCAGTGGAGCCCAAAAAACAGGTCAAATGCTCCCTCTCATGGCCGGTTGTTTTCAGTGTGACAGATTAGATAGCGTCTTCCTCGACATGTATAACTTGTCTCAATCTTTCCTATTATGCTTGAGTGCTCCCTGGCGGCCATTAGAAAAATCGTTATATAGCCCGCTTCATTAAATAAGCCCGAGAGTTGAAAAGCCGCGGCTTATACTCCGGAAATTACGGTCGTTGACCTTGCGTCTTTATTGTCGTAACATAATTTTTTTTTCCACTTGGCGATCTGACGATTGTGAAGAAACAATTAAAACCACGAAACGTCATTCACGTTTTCAACGAATGCGGGCCTCACCTCTTTGTCCGTGCGTTCGGCCTTGGTGGAGACGCTCTCGTGACCTTTGTGCTGGTTGCTTGTGCACAGCCAACAGATGAAGACCTTACACTGGCGACAGAAGAACTCCTGCAGGTACTTGTGTTGGGTGCAGATCTTGTCGGCCAAGTTGGCCGTCGGCACGATCAACTCGTGCTCTTTTAGGGCCTTGGTGGTCTGGTGAGGTTTCAGGTGGTTCTCGCAGTACGAACTCATACACACCAGGCAGGTCTTGACCGCCGCCTTCTGCTCTCCTTGGCACAAGTCGCACTGCACAGCCGAAGAGGGGAGTCTCTTTTGGGTTTTCAATTTGATGCTCCTAGAGACCACCGATCTTGGGATTCCTCTGCGGAGCTGGTCCACCGCTTCGGCCAGCATGGTGTTTCTGGAAAGCGAGGGCCGAGGGCAGAAAGTCTGACGGCACTGGGGGCAACTGTAGACACCGTTGGGATCATCTTTGCTCCAGTAGTCTTTGATACAGGCCATGCAGTAGCTGTGCCCGCACGGGATGGTGACCGGATCGTTTGGGAGATCCAGACACACGGGGCAGTTGAACTGCTCCTCTGTCCACAGTTTATCGCTCATGGTCCCACAGGCAAATAGAAAGGCGGACAAGCGCGGCCGTGGTGGTGGACACGAGTGGAAATCGGGGGTTGCTCGCGGCGACAGGAGGAAGTATCGAGTCAGTTTGAAAGGCGTGAGCAGGGAGGGGCCTGAGCCACCGGGCAGGTTGAGCGGGTACAAGCGGGTGTCGGTGGAGAAAAAAAAATGCCGCACAAAGGAAGAAGTTAATCTTTTTACTGTGTCGGTGACCCCGACAGACATATTTATGTAACTGCTTGGCTAAGCCATGAAAGTCAATATTTGGAAATCACTGTTGATCTTAAACATGACTGAAATGGGAATTTCAGATTTAGATCCCTGGAAAGTGAATTAACAGATTTGCTTCTAAATGTTATGATCCATGTTTGACTACAAATGCTGGAAACATTAAAAGACTGAGAACTATGTCGAACTCAATTATTGAGATAAAGCGTAAAACCGTTTTTCACCTGTTCAATTTTCCAGATTTCTCGGGTGCCCAGTCCGGCACAATTCATACCTTCCCGCGATTAAAAAAAGAAAATAGTGAGCCGCTTCGATCCAATCAACAGTCATCCAGACCAATTTTCATGTTAAGTTAGCTCGCTAGCTATGCCAAGGCCATGAAAATACATCTTTCTGACAGACAGTCCGCTGGTGTGGCTGCTTTAGAGAGCGTCATTGTGTGGGGCTTGGTTTCAGCTCAACCAGGGGTCAAACACAGAAGAAGAGGAAGCATGGTTTGATTTTTCACTACTTTGAGTCCTCATTTTTAAAACTCGATCATTTTTTTATTCACTTCTTTGAGCAATCGTCGTATGAGGTAGATACACTGATAACTGTGCTGAATTTACAATTTTAATTAAATTTGATTTTTTTTCATCTGTAAGAGTATATATAACACTTTTTTTCCTTTGCTTTTTTTTTTTTTTTGAAGAACCGGCGATTGAGGATCTGGCAGACCGGTAAAATTTACTGACGTGCTAAAATAGCGGTGATCCACTGTGATGACCGAAGCGTGATTAAAATAAAAATTATGGACTGACATTTACATTTTCTCAGGTTGAAATAATGACGGACTCTCGATGATGGATGGGGTGCCGAGGCTTCTAGCGAATGCCGGGACGGGACGTGCAAAACTCACTGACACGCCTCTGATGTATATCTATATCAATAAATGTATCTCGAGAGATATAGTAGTGGCATTTTTGTTTGTGCCCCAGTCAATAAAGTTTGGGAAACACTGTAATAATGTTAACTCCGATTTTTACACGTTAAGAAAATTAACTAAAACGTATTTCAGTCACATAAGTGCTTAGCAACACCCCAAAATGCACTGCATAAATTGTGAGCAAACAGGTGGTAAATTAACTATTTTAACCACTCGCGATCAAATGTTGTAGTCCACAGTAAGTCTGTCCCATGATGCGTTTGTCGATGCGAGCAAAGCAGGAAGTACTCAGGGCGAATCCTCTTGCACTTCACGGGTCGCTTCTCTCCGGTGGATCGTCTTGTGTCTAGAAACGTTTTGTTTCCAAGTGTATGTTTTATTGTTCGAAGAGATGTCAGATAACGCAGCGAGGCGTCCCAAGGTTGGGGTGGGTGTACTAGTCACAGACTCGGCTCATCCAGGCTGTGTTCTCCTCGGGAAAAGGAAAAGTGTGATGGGAAATGGGAAGTACCAACTTCCGGGCGGCCATCTGGAGTTTGGGTACGTACTAGGAAGTGAGAACATTTCGCTTTGTACCGCTTTCGTCAGTGATAATTCCATTCATTCACAATCCATGGCACTTTTCCTCCGCGGGCTGGCTGGACCCCATCCAAATTCTCTTCGAGCAATTGGTCGATGGAGTTGGCTGGACTGCCAATCGGCTCTCGCGGTTGAAAACGGAGGGCAAATCTCTTGCGTTACATCTTTGACTGACAACTGATTTTTGTTTGTGATTGGCTGGCAACCAGTTCAGGGTGTCCCCTGCCTACTGCTGGAAGACTGCTTGGATAGGCTCCACCCCCCTGCGACCCTTAAGAGGATAAAGCGGATTGGAAAAATGGGTGGATGGATGGATACCTTTAACTTATATGCAATGTTAGGGTGACCATATTTTGATTTCCAAAAAAGAGAAACACTCGGGATCCTCGAGATACTGAAATGATACTCAAAGATCTCATCCATAATAACATTTGCAACATCAACGACATTTAACATGTACGTAAAGAAATTACAGTTTTATTATCTAACGAAGAAAAAAAAAATTATGTGGAAAAAAATGAATATATTCTTATCTCTGCGGAGCAGACGCTATTGGAGGGACCAAGAACTAAGCAGAGGCTCGGAAGGGATGAAGCCCTTTCCTTTGCCGGTGCCTCTCTTTGGAATGGCGTCCCACTGAACGTTCGGCAAGCCTGCTCGCTGCCCATCTTTAAAACTCGTCTTAAAACTATTTTTTATTCTTTCTCTTTTGCCTCCGCATGAGAATTGAGTTTAGATTTTTTGTTTTATTGTTTCGTTCTTGTATGAATTATTTTTGCGCCGCGTAGAGCACTTTGGATACAGCGGTGGTTGTTTTCAAGTGCTCTCAAAATACACTTGAGTTGAGAATTGAGCGATCGTCCTGGAAATAAATACTGATGCATTAACCTCTTGTCTCATATTTGAAGTCAAACCCAAAATGTTATCCGTCTCACTGTTCCAATACTTTTGGAGGGGAGCGTATACTGACACCGTAATGGTTGGCACGGGTGCCCTCCACTGAAGTGACTGTGTTCTTGTACAGGGAGACGTGGGAGGAGTGTGCCCAGAGGGAGGTGTTAGAGGAAGCTGGCCTGCATTTGGTGAACATCCGCTTTGCTTCCGTGGTGAATTCCATCAGACTGGAGGAGCAGTATCACTACGTTGACATTATTATGCAAGGAGAATTGGACAAGGAGCGATCCAAAGAACCCCAGAACTTGGAACCGGAGAAAAATGAGGGTGTGTCATGGAATATTTACAAACTAACAACCTCAAAAATTGATCCTCCGTTTGCCGTGTTAACCATAAGCCAATCTGACACAGAAGAGTCCCACAAAATTGGAAACCGGAGTATCAGTGGCTGTTTTTGCCATGTGCCATATGTGCGGCCAAACAATGGAATAGAATACATCTTTATGTCTCGAGCCCTTTCACAACGGCTGCAATTGTAACAAAGCGCTTCGCAGAACATTTTAACAGAAAATAACAAAAACTATACAACACATAACGTAAAACATGGCCAAGAATACAATCGCAAGTATTCCTGCACGCGCCTTGCAGTATTTCTGCCAATCCGCCCCCTCAAAGATGCGATGTGAAATGGTTTTCTGTTGGCATCATAACATGTCAATCGTTGGCTTTTTTGTCTGGGGAATTGGCAACCGGCTCAGCGTGTCCCCCGCCTACTGCCCAAAGACGACTGGGATGGGCTCCGGCATGCGTGACCCTCCCGAGGATAAGATGATTAGAAAATGAATGGATGTCAACTGAAGAATTCAGATTCAGTGTCAATGCAACAATTTCGCCCAACTTCTGTTGACTGAATTAATCTCAGCACTTGTGTAGGTCAATTTCCCACGGCAGCGGTAAACTGGAGTGACTTTGTCTTTCCATCCTATCCCAGGATGGACATGGACGAGGTGGGAGCAGTTTCCTCCAGAAGATCGGCTCTTTTTGCCCCTGGCGCATCTGCGAGAGCAACGATACCATCCCTTCACCAGCACAAAAGCCGAAACTTTGAAGTAACTCATGTTACGTGTTTTCTCCAGCGTTGAACAATCCTTGTCCTTTCTGTAAATTTCCCCAGTGTGGGACAAATAAAGGATATCTCATCTTATCTTTGCAATGCAGCTTCGTGTTTTACTCTGTTGTCGCGAGGGTACATTAGAAGTTTGACGTGAGATCCTTTTTTTCATCCCGACAGATGCTGGCATTTTTTTTATCCCATTTGACATGATGCTTTCACCAGGAGCATGAGAAACATTTATTTTCTGCAATTGCGCAAACAGGCGCACCAAAAAGCCTTCCATTTTCTTAAAAGCTCACAGTGCGCCTTAAAATCCGATGCGCCTTGTACATGGTCATTATGGTAATATTTTGACCCCAAAAGGGCTCCTTGCTCGAGACATGCTGTCAACGCAGAGTTCAAACTTCAGGCGATCGAGTTCCGCAGTTGAACACGGAAATGGAGCAGCGGCAGGAGAGTTCTAACGTTAACGAGTCAACGTTATAACTTGCTGTTGGTTAAGTGAACTGTGTCGCTGCTTCATTCAATACGTTTTACTGACATCTGATCGTTCTGTTGGCATTTCCTTGAGCGTAGATCCATCTGGTGGAGGCATTGCAGATTGCATCTTATAATGCGGTGCGTCCAATATAGGAAAAAAAAAAATACAAAATGGGCCATTCAGTGAAGGTGCGCCTCATAGTCCAGTGCGCCTTTTAGTGTGGAAAATACAATATGTACCCAGAAAATAAAATAAAATAAAATCTTCCTGCTTTTGTGTTCCAACATTCATATGCAAACATCGGTCTGGGTCAGAACTTGTGCTTGGTGACCGCTGAAATGTAAACATTCACGTAAATGCTCCTGTGAGCCACTGGAAGTTGTTTTTCTTCCAGCGCGATTCGCTATCATGTTCTGGGGCAGTGAAATATAAATACGCATTCAGAGTGCGACATCCATTTGTTGAAGGTCACACGGTAGCTGCGACTGCGACCGCCACCAGCACAGTCCAAATCGTTGGGACGGTGGATGCCACCACGGCGCCGTTAAAGACCTTGTTGTGGGCGTAGGTGATGATGTGTAAGGCGCCGTCGTAGGCTTCCTCACAGGTGGGCCGGATCTGATCCTCGGGGAGCTCGAAGCCGTAACGGCCGTCATCTCTCAGCTCAAAGGTGTACGAGTAGGGGATTCCTTGGAACCGAGCCCAATCTCGGGAGGAACCGGAATTGGGATCTATCGAAGAGCACGTTGACGAACGTCATTTTCAGCAGCCGTCGGTTTATCCTTCGTACGTACACGCCTCCGAGTCTTCAATTAACACGCACAAACATGGAGACTCGGCACAGACACCCACATCCAGATACCAAGCGGACATTTCTTTCCGTGAGGCAGCGGCGCTGAAGTATGTCAACAACAGTTCAACGGTGATATGTCATGTGTTCACTTACATAATATATCCGGCGAGGTTCCGACTCTGTAGACCTTCCCGTGGACTTTCTTAATGGCCTCCGCTGCACCCATACCAACTTCCATCTAAAGAATCGGACAGCACACTCTTTTTTTTTTTCTTCCAATCTGACTTCACATTTAATCACTGAAAGATATCCGTCGATGCGCATTTACATACGAGTTCCTTGTAGTTGGCGGCGGTGAAATTAGGGTGACCGTAGGGAACCAGAAGCAGCTGGCCGTAGGAGTGGATGGTGAGGAAACACAGGAAGTCCTCTTTCCGGCTTCCCACAAAGTAGCTCACGGCCAGCGTCTCGGGCTCGGACTCGGCGCCTCTGCCGCAGTAAGTCGCGTGGCAGCAGTCAAATGACACCCCGATGGCTTTGAAGAAAATGAGAACCGCATAAATATACCTGACCCTCAAACGCGCAACACATTTCGGGTGACATTGCCACTGAAATTGTTGCGACGGAGAGAAACACTCACTGCCCCAATTGGCGTCGAAGTTGCGGTTAAGATCCGTCCCCGAGCAGTTGCAGCCTGCAGGTTCTGGTGATCTGTTCTTCCTCCAGAGACGGGTCTAAATGGGTCAGAGTCGACGGTTTTAGTAAGCCGCTTGCGGCGCGTTATTGTGGCAACGCCAAGAGTCAAGAGTTGATGATGATGGTTGGCAGGCTGGAGCCGATCCCAACAGACTTTGGGTGTCCATCCAGGATGAACCAAATATAAATGAACGAGACACGTGTACAAAACTACATAAAGCAGGAAATGTTGTGGAAAGAGCGCCTGTAGTTACAGGAAGTGATTGACAGGTCGAAGTGCATAGCATGTAAGTTGAGGGGTTGGTTGTTTTTAGTGGATAGCTCTACTTTACGAACGCCAAAAGGACAGATGGAATCCTTTAAAGGCAGTTTTATTAAAAGGGGGGGGGGGGGAGACGTCTGCTCCGCAGCACGTTCGTGAACACACCTCGTAACTAAATTCACTTCCTGCTTCTCTTACTCCAACAGCCAATCAGAACCCATCAACGTAAAAACATGTCTCATTATTAAACAACAGAATATAATTGAGGTATTCTTAACATGAAATAATATGATGCGCAAACATAAAATGACAATAATAATATATAACAATATAATAATAATAATAATATAACATAAGCTTAAAAGCACACGAAGTGCTGAAAACACTTTTTAGGTACAGTAGCCGTATGAAACGTGTGCTAAACCACACAAATCCCGAGTGGACAGACGATCGGGCAATCGCTGTCAACAGATTTGGAAGACGAACGAAATGTTTGGAGCAAAAGACGGACAACGAAAGTGTCTTTTCATGGAATCGCGTCTGTCTGGTGTTTCGAGTGACACCTAGTGGCCATTTGTATGATACACAGCTTCCGTTTTGTTGTCCTGCAAGTAAATCGACCGGGACATGATTTCAGTCACATATGACACTTGAGATACGCCGTTTCAAGAGCAGCAAGTAGTCAGTGAGAAAATAAATATTCACTGACATATTTCATCAGGTTCAAGAGGCATCGATAACCTTTCATCTCATCTAAGAGTAGAGGCTTAAATTGAATCATGCGATGGCGAGAGATGACCCCCTTCTTGAGCCGCGGTCTCAGCAAAGTCATCTGAAAAGTCCAAAATACCGTTTCAAGAGCAGCAAGTAGTCAGTGAGAAAAAAAATATTCACTGAAATATTTCATCAGGTTCAAGAGGCATTGATAACCTTTCATCTCATCTAAGAGTAGAGCCTTAAATTGAATCATGCGATGGCAAGAGATGACCCCTTCTTGATCCGCGGTCTCAGCAAAGTCATCTGAAAAGTCCAAAAGGCGAAAGGTGTTCCCACCCACGATTAAAATTCATCAACACAAGGGGTCAAACGAGCTCTTCGTTTGCATTTCATTTGGCGTTTGTACATTTTCGAAAACACGATTTGGGCTCGTTTGTTAATGCGCGTGTTTCCCATTCGGAAAATGTCTTTGCGTTCATATAATTAGTTTTCAAGTACTCGGTTCGGCCACTAACTAGAATGGGATTTTTTCTAATCATCATCTTTTTTCATGTTCTATTTTCCGGAATTTTCCATCTCATCTTTTAATTTTGTTGTTCTACTTCTTCCATTCATAACTTGAACTAGAATGGGATTTTTTTCTAATCATCATCTTTTTTCATGTTCTACTTTCCGGAATTTTCCATCTCATCTTTTAATTGCATTTGCCAGATGACTCAACCAAAGATTGTTACGGTTCGACTCATCAGTCAGTGAGCTCACAGGATTGCCAGAAACCGACCAAGGTCCAATTAGATTCTTCTGACGTCATCCCTTTATCGAGCTGCATGCTAATGCGATGTGATACTTTGCTGTGATGTACTTTGCGATGTTCTAGTCCTCAATTTAGGAATAAGAGGTTGACTGTTCGTGTTTACAAGAGGTTGCTTTTCTACTTCATTCAGTCAATGTATCACTGACCGAGTTGTCCTTCCACGAATAGATGTAGCCGTCCATGTTGAGCACCGGGGTGACGTAAAAGTCCATGTTCCGAATCATCTCTCCCATTTTCGGGTCTGTCTTGTAGGTCCGCAAGATCTGAAATGAAAAGATCACGGTTCCGAGTCTTTGTTCATTGAACGTTCCGGTCCGTGCGCCGTCAATGCTGGAACGTGGGACATGATTACCCGGCTGACAAAGTATTGACAGAAGGCCGGAGCGATCCACTCCCTGGCATGAATACCGCAGTCCATCCAGATGGCTTTCTTTTTCGCTCCAGTGTCTGCACCGATCTGCAAAGCAAACAGGACGACGGTATTTCTATTTCGGGTCCTCAGGTGAAACATGCGGTTACCTTGAGCAAGCTGATTGTCCGCAGCTCGTAGGTTTTTCCGTAATCCATGACGGTCACAATATCGGGATAGGCCTTTGCAACCTGAGTCATCCATTCAGAGATCTGTTGGATTAAAAAAAAAAAAAAAAAACTCTTAGACCTTGGTCGGACTGCAGGCAAATAAATAAATAAACAAACAAACAAATATTTTTTTTTTCCAATCAGTGCAGATGCAAGGTGGCCATGACAAAAATCACATTTGCCTTCGAATCTCTCAATCTGTGTGTGAGGGTGTGTGTATCCTTACCTCTGACATGGGATGGTATTTGTCGTAGTTGTACTCTGGTCTGTTACACACACCAAGATAGGATCGGGAAAAATTCATTGACACGATTTCGCTCCATTTTACGGAAACATACTAAATCTCCAAGATTTCAAGCCAGACATTGCTCAGTGATACCGCTACCAGTTGTGTATCTTGTGTGTGTGTGTGTGTGTGTGTGTGTACAATTTGATTTGCTTTCACAATGGCAATACAGTAAATTCATTGCAAAACGCAAGTTGAGATGATACAAATACTGGACCTTAATTCATTTAGTCCTGATAAAGTAAGTGTGTAAATCGACCATCCTCGCCTCAAAAATGTTTAATCCCCTATCTGAAAAAAAAAAAAAAAAAAAAGCAAATGACTCACTTTTCTAGCGTTGCAGCTGCTGCCACTGAGAGCAGAGCCGCAAGAGCGACTCCCACATCACGGATTGCCGTCATTTCGAAGAAGAGTTGTTTGCTCGCAAAGTTTCGAACCTGCGGTTCCTTTTATAGGAATCGCGGCTCCTTTAGATAGCGTCAAATCAGATAAAGACGCACCTTTGCCTCATTCGCAGATGCGTTAGCGTTATGCTGATCATGTGTCCGTCGACTTTATTGGCCAGTTAATTTGTAATCTCATTTGAAGGTTACGTGATAATCTTTCTGAATAAACAACTATTTATGGTATGACAATAAAAGTCATCTGTTTATGGATTAATTTTATCTAATGTTTGTCCTCATCAGAGTTGGAGCTAGCTAAACCGGCCGGCTACTTCAGCTGATTTTGGGCAAGAGGCAAGGTACAGACCGGACAGGTCGCCATCTAATCTTGGGGCGCGTATAAGCAACCGTGCGCTCCCACTCACCTCTATGGACAATTTCGACTCTTGTATGAACCTAAAACGCATGTTTTGAGCATGTCAGAGGAAGCTGTAGCACCTCATGTGTGTGCACGGTTTTACAGTGCTCTTGATTCATTTAGTTTTTTTTTTTACAAGTGTGCATCTTCGAACGCATGTTACGAGCATGTCAGAGGAAGCTGTAGCACCACGTGTGTGCACGGTTCTACAGTGCTCTTGATTCATTTTTTTTTTTTTTTTTTTTTTACAAGTGTGCATCTTCACTCATCTATATCCATCCATCCATCTATTTTCTGGTCCGCTTTACTCTCCCAAGGGTCGCGGGGCGTGCTGGAGCCTATCCCAGCCGTCTTCGGGCAGTAGGTGGAGGACACCAGGCGACAGATGACGTCGTCATGAGCTCCGTTGAAGAAAAGCGCCGTTCTGTTATGTGACACGGCATTTGAAGAGGAATATTTTTGATTGAACAAGAGTTTTATATTCACAAATGTCAATTTTCAAAAACAAAACCCATCTTTTGTGTGTTGCTGAAAGAGTTGGGTGTATATTAACACCAGGCGACAGATGACGTCATCATGAGCTCCGTTCAAGAAAAACGCCGTTCTGTTATGTGACACGGCATTTGAAGAGGAATATTTTTGATTGAACAAGAGTTTTATATTCACAAATGTCAATTTTCAAAAACAAAACCCATCTTTTGTGTGTTGCTGAAAGAGTTGGGTGTATATTTTTGTTCGATATCTGGCGGTAAAAATAAGACAAACCTTGAAATTGTGTTCCCCTTTCAATGCTTTCGATGTTTCTTGTTTTTTTTTTTACTTAGGCCGCATGGCATTTATTTATTCTTATTTTCCTATTTATTATTTTTACATTTTAAAATACAATTTTGCTTGATGTGATGATGACGTATTATTTTTTCTCATATATGACGTACGGATGTTCAATCTCTTAATATATTAAATAAACAAAAAAAAAACGTGTTCTGCTACCTAATCCGCCACCTAGTGCTTGTTTTTTCAAACTTTAATAGATTAACTAAGGCGTGCTATTTTTTTTTAATGAGCCGTGTTGCTGAAAAATCAATGAACGCTGCTGGTTTTAAGCACATTAAAAAAAAAGTTCTAAAAAAAAATGTCTCTAGGGGAAAGTGGCTCTTGTGAGGAATAAAAGGATCAAGTGGTTAAACTTGGCGCGCTGACTACAAAAGGTATGAAATCACAAATTTGGGGGAAAATTATGGAAACTTATTGATCGTTTTCAACATGATAAAGTTTACATTTCAAGATCCCGATTTCACATCATTCATTTTCCATTTGCCGATTTTAATGAGCCGTGTTGCTAAAAAATCAACGAACGCTGCTGGTTTTAAGCACATTAAAAAAATAAGTTTTAAAAAATGTCTCTAGGGGAAAGTGGCTCTTGTGAGATATAAAAGGATCAAGTGGTTAAACTTGGCGCGCTGACTATAAAAGGTATGAAATTACAAATTTTGGGGAAAATTATGGAAACTTATTGATCGTTTTCAACATTATAAAGTTTACATTTCAAGATCCCGATTTCACATCATTCATTTTCCATTTGCCGATTTTGCTGACGACGAACGTCTTTAGAACGTAAACTACGTTGCAACGGCCACATTTTTCCAACAAAATAGTGAAAAGGTCTTGGTTACAACAAAGCGTGGGAAGCTAACTGCCGCCGTGACCTTGCTTATGAACAAGATGTACAGCGCGGGGATTCCCCCGCTGTTGCTTGGCAACCCTTCTGATCGAATCGTTCATTGTTGCACTTTGGAGCCACATGCTCTGAAAACATGTCCGGTAAACGGAAATCAAATCTCGCAGTCTGTGAAGGCTGAAATTGTCTCTCACTTTCGAAAGCAGACGAAGCTCAGCCGAGACTTTGAATTGGCAAAGTCAACCATTTCGACAATCATCCCGAGTGGCAACAAAATCATGGCCAACAGATTGAAAGATGATCGTAAAGGGCTACGGGTGCTGCGACACATGCTAAACTGACGTCGGCTGGCTTCGTCGATGGCACCGGCAAATGCCAATGGCAGCTAACATTTGCTGACTGAAAGTTTTCAGAGATGACGTAGGAACGCTACATTTGTTTGTTTCATGTCTTATGAAATCTTTTTTTTTTCTCCATATACACGTATTTTTTCTTGATGTGTTTATACTCTCTTACATGGTCCTGTTTTTCCATCTATAAATGCTCGTACTGTATCATACATCATAGTTGGCGGCCATTTTAATGGAAATGGTTACAGTGAACTACCATCGTAACGTACAGATTTGTGATGTCCCTTTCGGTACGTTGCAAGCAGGTTCGACTGTGCTTCGAAGCATTTCAAAATGTCATCTGCTATCCTTTCCACTGTGCAGCAGGTGTCGGTCAAGAGCTCATGTCAGTGAAGCATGGAGTCATGAAACTGAAGCAACACCTCAGTGGTTCATGAGGCTTCATTTTCCCCTTCACTTGTCAGAAGTAACCTTTGCCAATGGTGATATTAACGTATCCGCGCCCGTCTTTGGAATTGCTACAACCTACTCTTCCGAGTATCTCCGGGTCATCTCGCTTGAGATAGGATAGGAAAGGAAAGCTCCCGCGCAAAAGCAAGTGGCTCTCGCCATCCGCATCATTATCTTCAGCAGGTGTTTCCTCATGATGCCGCTGATGGATGGCGCTCGTGATGTCGGTGAAGGGCTGCAACTTGGAAGCAGCATCCTGATTGGCTCCGATGCCGAGGGGAGAGAGAGCGGGAGCAAAAGAGAGAGCCGGAAAGCGCCAGCTTCATTCCTCTACAGTGGTGCCTCCGTCTCCGCAGTGCGCGTCGTACGTCACACCGCTCCATCTCCGCACTCGCGGCACAATCCCCATTTCTGCAAACAGTCTCTGTGTGTTTTTCTTCCTTTTTTTTTTTTTTTTTTTTTTGGAACTCTGCCTACCCGCCCAAGTTTCTCTCAACCTTGACTTGGATTCCCACAAGGACAACGGCGGCCCCTTGATCGCTCGTGAGTGCAGGTGCGAGCCCATGCAGACGGCGGAGAGAATGTCCCTGCAGGAGGGAAACGCCAGCGCGTCGGAGGCGTCCGGCTGCGTGGAGCTGTGGAATATCAGCGTGGAATTCAACGCGAGCTGCGCCAACACATCCACCAACAGACCCAAAGGTAAATGTCCAAAAATGACGTTTTCTTCCCACTGTTCCCTTTTTCCCTCCTCGCCTCCAACGATTGTCGTCCCTTGACGGTGTTCAAGTGAGATTCAACTCAAAAGTTGTCCAATGTTCTCTTCACCAGCTCCGCGTTGTAAAGAAGAAAAAAAACAACCCCTCCCTGCCATAATAGTGTTTAATTAATGCTCCCTCTGAATGTTTGTTCTTCCTCATTAATAGCAGATGCAGAAATTTGGTTTTTGTGATTATTTATTCATGTTCTTCCCAGTACACTTGTCGCAAATAAAAGGAACATAGACGGCACAAGAGCCACCAAAAACTAACTTCTAATTCTGCAGGGTGTAGTTTTCAACTAAATTGTGTGCAAAGATAAATATGTTTAAATTTACCATTCATAAATTAAAATGCAGCTACTGCTTACCAAGATTCCAATTCCGGGTTCACTGGTCTGCTATTTCGAAAAAATCTTTTTGTACTATTCCGAACACCCATTTTAACCTAACGCTAACTTTATTTTGAGTGTAATTCCTCTGTCGACCACTCGAGGGCAGCGCACTAGCAAAAAAAGCGTGTCAGGAAGAAACCGAAAGTATTTCAGTACAGCGAGTTGGTTGAAAATTGTTGACCGTCATCCTCTGTAATCCTGCTTTTTACACCTACTAAAAGCGATGGCCATCGGTTCATTTTAGTCAACGCATGGCAGTACCAGTGCACTGTTTGTGCAATCATTTTGTTTTCGTTGCTCTTGCTCTCAATACATTGTTGACATGGTTTGCATTTTGAAGCTTTAAAAATCGAACTGCGGTCGAAAAATTAATTCAGGTCATAATTTTAATGCTCGGTGAACTGGATTAAAGAACGAGGGGGCGGGGTGCAGGTCCCCAAAAAGCCATAGTTTCCCCACCGTTGGTTGGGAATTTGAGGAATGTGGCGCATTTGATTATTTTCTACACGGAGGGAGAAAATGGGCCAATTTCTACCTCTCTCGGCTTCTTATTGATTTCGTATCCGCCGTCAAGTCGTAATCATGCAACAGAGCCTCAACCTTGGCCCGTCTGACTCAACAAATCACAGAAATGCCGCGGGGGTCCGTGCATAAGATCTCCAGCGTTTATTTCACAGCCACGGCTGTAAATTATTCATGGAATTCCCTGGCATTTGCACACATACCGTAGTCGTCTCGATCGAGGCAGACAGACAAATGACATCTTTGCGGATTGTCCACTTGTTGCAAATCAAGTCATTCATTCTTGCTAATGACCGGCCGCCACCAACCGGAGCAATGCCGCACCAGGGCCAAGTGAATGTTTTCAAACATCTTTGCGGATTGTCCACTTGTTGCAAATGAAGTCATTCATTCTTGCTAATCACCGGCCGCCACCAACCGGAGCAATGCCGCACAAGGGCCAAGTGAATGTTTTCAATGGGAAGAAGCCTTTTTTTTTTTTTTTAACTTCGATTTGGGGGTGATGCGCCGAGCTTCAGAAAAATCAGCATCTTCAAAAATAGAACAAGCCGACTTTAATTTCTACTTTGTGGGGAATATGGAGGAGCAACTTTTATTTCCTCAAAGTGACACATGGTACGCAAGACTGAAAAAAATGGAACATTGTGAACTCGGCAAAGGGAGTCATCGGCAGTTTAAAATGATTGAAAAGCTGTTCAGAAGCCTGCAGATGTTTTATTATGATGATTATTTTTTTTAATCAACACTGATGCGAAAGGCAATGGGCTTGTTCACCATGTGCCGTTTTAATTGGATGCGGTAAGAAATGAGGAGCTGCTGAAGGATTTGAGAACAGCGGCGGTCTAAGGCGATGGGTTTTCCTGCTTGGAACGGAATCAAGTGAATCGTCCGGGAGAGTTAATTACGAAGCGTCAATTGTCTTTGAGCTGAAACGTCTTGGAAGCAACGCCATAATCCGGCGCGGAACCAGAATTGGCGTGCGGTATTCCAAATGTGTCCGCGCAAGAGCTAGTGCGGCACTTTAAAAGAAGATGAATTCGCTCTGCAAGCTGCGCTTGTCACTCAAACTTTGTCTACAGCGGTGGTTGTTTTGCAAGTGCTCTCGAAATACTGTTGAGTTGAGTTGATGATTTCGTACCCATACATAAAAACACGATGACGCCATCGAATGGACAGGATGAAACTGTTTTTAGCACATTTTTCACTTCAGTTCAATCTGCTGCTCTTTCTGGTATGTGCGCCCCGACCATCTGGGGGGCCGTAAAATATTGTCAGACGTACGAGAGTTTCACAACTGACTCGGCAAGCTGCGCTTATAAGAGTCTTTTTTTTTCCACAGAGGGGAAAGCATAACTTTGAATCATATTGTCATTCTACATGTGTTGCTACGGTTTTTGTGGTCAAATAGTTGCTTCATGTGTTAACACCATAATCTAGATGGGGTCATGAATAGCATCTCTGGTGTTTTCTCACCGTGTTAACGTTAAGCTAACGGACGTGAAGGCGCAGTGTGCAATTCTGTTAAGTTCAACAGTAAACTTTTCTGGGTATGACAAAAGTCAGCCTCTTATTTTGGCAACGTCTGCTTGTTGTCACGAAACCTGAGTTTTCACTGCCAAAATATCAAAGCAAAAAACCCCTCAAAAAACCCAAACGTCTTGTAGATCAAAATTTCCCCACCTACAGGATCACAACTGTCCCCTTTCAGAAATACGCATCTCCATGATGCCATTATTTGTGGATAATATCAAAGACATTCTTGCAATTGTTTACCCATCCAAACTGTCACAGCATATTTCCTGAAATGTATTTGCTTTTTTAATACGATAGTTTGGGTTTTATGGCCGTAATACGCTGGCGGTGGAGACGGTTTACGTGGACGCGGTGGGCCTTAAAGCTCACATTTGTTGGTCGGAAGCGTCGCGGACGCAGAATTGACTCGCTATGTGATTCTCCGGAGAAGCTGCAGTGCTGTAACTCAGCCTCCGCTTGTCTGTGCGAGGCTTCCCTTGAAATAGATGTGCGCTTAACGCCTACGGGACAACGTTTCTTGCTTTCCTTCTGTTTCCTAGTTAACAGCAACTCCAAAATTCTCACCTGGTGACAAATCACAGGAAATTCATACACAAATGATCAACGAACCCTCCCGACGAGGCCTCGGAACTAATTGAATGCGTGGCGATATTTGTCGTCGGCGTTACCAAAGGCTCTCGGAGAATGTCCACGCAACGGCCGATCAATGGATTTTTCCCCATGGGGGCTGCACCGCGGAAGAACTAATTGAGTTGAATATTGCTGCATCGGTAAGTTGCCTTCCAGAAATGAAATGCGGCCAGCACGCGAGTGCTGTCAAAGGACTCATTTGCAGGGACTTTAATGAGAACTTACAAAAGCAGCGCGGCGCAAAGAAGAAGGTACGGAAAAGATTTCTTCGGTTCAAAACGGCCGCCTTTTTGGAAAGAGCTGCAGAACCTGCATTCAGCCAATTCAAATTGGTGGAAATTTGGCATTCGTGGTCATGTGGATGGGGAAAACCAACAACAAGTGGCTTTTCCTTGTTTTTCTTTCTTTCCTCCTCTCAAATTCTAGTCGCAAGTGCTTTACGGTGGCATTGAACAAGCAGCAGGTTGACGGACCACCAATAGTGGAGCAGCACATGTCGATGGATAATACTCACAGGGATTCTTTATCATCTGCAAAGAATGAATGTGACTGCAGTTTACTGAGGGGCTGAGGCCGTCGAGTAGAACCATACAGAGTGCCATTTTTCTTTAAAAATACAAAATAATCAAATTGGGATTTTATTGGGATGCTGAAACGGGTTACGAGGATCTCATTCATTGCCTGGGAAAAGATCGTTGAGTCAAGTGAACGGTCATGGTAAGACACCCCTGTTACAAAGAGGCTTATGTAACTATCTATAATTATGAGGAGTCGAGAAAGTAAAGTTTTATGTCGCAGCACATCAGAAGAGTCCAAACATTTTTTTTTTAAATGTGCAAACAAGCACTTGAGATTTGAATGTCACGTTGCATCTCTGCCTGTGACGTCACCTTTTAGATTTCCAATCGGAACAAGTGGGCTATTGAATTATTGGCATGTAAATTAAGAACGGTTTGCGTCAAATTGATTGATCCTACATCGACGCAAAATGGGCTGCACGACTCAAATGGCCCGACCAGCACGTCGGGCCATTTGAAACAATTACAATTCGTACAAAAAAAAAAAAAAGCAACGCCATAATCCGGCGCGGAACCAGAATTGGCGTGCGGTATTTCAAATGTGTCCGCGCAAGAGGTAGTGCGGCACTTTAAAAGAAGATGAATTCGCTCTGCAAGCTGCGCTTGTCACTCAAACTTTGTCTACAGCGGTGGTTGTTTTGCAAGTGCTCTCGAAATACTGTTGAGTTGAGTTGATGATTTCGTACCCATACATAAAAACACGATGACGCCATCGAATGGACAGGATGAAACTGTTTTTAGCACATTTTTCACTTCAGTTCAATCTGCTGCTCTTTCTGGTATGTGCGCCCCGACCATCTGGGGGGCCGTAAAATATTGTCAGACGTACGAGAGTTTCACAACTGACTCGGCAAGCTGCGCTTATAAGAGTCTTTTTTTTTCCACAGAGGGGAAAGCATAACTTTGAATCATATTGTCATTCTACATGTGTTGCTACGGTTTTTGTGGTCAAATAGTTGCTTCATGTGTTAACACCATAATCTAGATGGGGTCATGAATAGCATCTCTGGTGTTTTCTCACCGTGTTAACGTTAAGCTAACGGACGTGAAGGCGCAGTGTGCAATTCTGTTAAGTTCAACAGTAAACTTTTCTGGGTATGACAAAAGTCAGCCTCTTATTTTGGCAACGTCTGCTTGTTGTCACGAAACCTGAGTTTTCACTGCCAAAATATCAAAGCAAAAAACCCCTCAAAAAACTCAAACGTCTTGTAGATCAAAATTTCCCCACCTACAGGATCACAACTGTCCCCTTTCAGAAATACGCATCTCCATGATGCCATTATTTGTGGATAATATCAAAGACATTCTTGCAATTGTTTACCCATCCAAACTGTCACAGCATATTTCCTGAAATGTATTTGCTTTTTTAATACGATAGTTTGGGTTTTATGGCCGTAATACGCTGGCGGTGGAGACGGTTTACGTGGACGCGGTGGGCCTTAAAGCTCACATTTGTTGGTCGGAAGCGTCGCGGACGCAGAATTGACTCGCTATGTGATTCTCCGGAGAAGCTGCAGTGCTGTAACTCAGCCTCCGCTTGTCTGTGCGAGGCTTCCCTTGAAATAGATGTGCGCTTAACGCCTACGGGACAACGTTTCTTGCTTTCCTTCTGTTTCCTAGTTAACAGCAACTCCAAAATTCTCACCTGGTGACAAATCACAGGAAATTCATACACAAATGATCAACGAACCCTCCCGACGAGGCCTCGGAACTAATTGAATGCGTGGCGATATTTGTCGTCGGCGTTACCAAAGGCTCTCGGAGAATGTCCACGCAACGGCCGATCAATGGATTTTTCCCCATGGGGGCTGCACCGCGGAAGAACTAATTGAGTTGAATATTGCTGCATCGGTAAGTTGCCTTCCAGAAATGAAATGCGGCCAGCACGCGAGTGCTGTCAAAGGACTCATTTGCAGGGACTTTAATGAGAACTTACAAAAGCAGCGCGGCGCAAAGAAGAAGGTACGGAAAAGATTTCTTCGGTTCAAAACGGCCGCCTTTTTGGAAAGAGCTGCAGAACCTGCATTCAGCCAATTCAAATTGGTGGAAATTTGGCATTCGTGGTCATGTGGATGGGGAAAACCAACAACAAGTGGCTTTTCCTTGTTTTTCTTTCTTTCCTCCTCTCAAATTCTAGTCGCAAGTGCTTTACGGTGGCATTGAACAAGCAGCAGGTTGACGGACCACCAATAGTGGAGCAGCACATGTCGATGGATAATACTCACAGGGATTCTTTATCATCTGCAAAGAATGAATGTGACTGCAGTTTACTGAGGGGCTGAGGCCGTCGAGTAGAACCATACAGAGTGCCATTTTTCTTTAAAAATACAAAATAATCAAATTGGGATTTTATTGGGATGCTGAAACGGGTTACGAGGATCTCATTCATTGCCTGGGAAAAGATCGTTGAGTCAAGTGAACGGTCATGGTAAGACACCCCTGTTACAAAGAGGCTTATGTAACTATCTATAATTATGAGGAGTCGAGAAAGTAAAGTTTTATGTCGCAGCACATCAGAAGAGTCCAAACATTTTTTTTTTAAATGTGCAAACAAGCACTTGAGATTTGAATGTCACGTTGCATCTCTGCCTGTGACGTCACCTTTTAGATTTCCAATCGGAACAAGTGGGCTATTGAATTATTGGCATGTAAATTAAGAACGGTTTGCGTCAAATTGATTGATCCTACATCGACGCAAAATGGGCTGCACGACTCAAATGGCCCGACCAGCACGTCGGGCCATTTGAAACAATTACAATTCGTACAAAAAAAAAAAAAAAGAAAATAAATACAACTTTTTACCGAATCATGACCGGACAAACTTTACAGAAGGTTATTTGCTCCAGTCAATCACGCCTCGGCAGTCTGCTGTGACGCGTCTCATCGCAGCCCAACCATAAAACCAAACGACACGAGGTGTTGAAACCTGAACGACTCCCCCGTGAGGCAGCGGAATTACGGCGCAGCTGGCCGTAATCCTCAATCAGACACCGAGTGCATTTGTAAGCTTTGCCCCCTCCACCCACCCCACCCCATGTTTCATGTCAACACTTGGAAATGTGTCTTATGTGGACATTTTCGAAATGCGACGTACAGTTGCTAGGCTTGAGTGAGTCAACGCAAATGAAGCGGACAGACCGGCAAGGCTCCGGGGGGGGGGGGGGGGGCGCCGGGGGGGGGGGGGGCGCAAAGATAAGCTAATTTTTCACTCCTCGCAGTCGCAAGACAGAGCGCCACTTGGGTGTGCTCCCATCTTGGACATCTGTGGAGCGGCGGGTTTCTTCGTTTTTTTTTTTCTTCTTATGACTGCCAATTACATCGGCAGACGCGGGCCAGGCTTACTTTTAAACAGCCTTAGTGAAGGATGAAATGGGATTAAAATGCCCCCCCACGGCGTACTGCACAGGTGTCAAACTCAAGGCCCGGGGGCCACATCTGGCCCGCCACATCATTTGATGTGGCCCGCGAAAGCGAATCAAACATGGCAACTTTCATGATGCTTGCTAAAATCTCGACCAAAATTTCTCATTTGTAATAAATAAGAGCGATACTGTAAGCATTTTCTTGTGGGCCAAACCTCTCATTACAGTAACTTCAACAATAAATATGAATGAATCAACCGTTAGTCTTGACTTCTTTATATGGTTTCACTCATCACGGCCCTCCATGTGATTGCTTTTGTCCTCATGCTTTGGATGCAAAGGTGAAAACAGTCCAGTTTTTAATTTTTTTTCAAGGCAAATGTGATTCTCATGACATTTATTTCAGATTTTAATTTGAAGCATTTATTCATCCAAACTCTAACATTTAACTTCAGGAACTGTATGAGTGAACAAAACAGCTTTTCAGAGTTGCAACATGTGAAAGGTTTTCTTCGCCAAGAGAGATTTGTTTTAGAATTGAGCTAAAAGTGCAGCGAGGCTTCAAACGTCTTCCAAATTCATGATTTTTGTCGCACGCCCAATAAAAACCACAACGGTTGTAGTGAGCAATGAAATTTTTGCTTTGCTCGGATTTCCCGATCAAGTCTTATCGCGAGTCCGATTTTAAGAAACGGACGATGCGTCCGATGGGCGAATCTCGGCCCCCGATAATCGGCCCGGCCGATAATCGGTCTCGTAGGAAATGGCTGGTCATGGAGGGAATGTTAGCACGATGGCGAACAAAACACGAGTAGCAAATCTAAAAGAGGGTTAATGCTTAATCATCATTGGCCGGGATGAAACGCAGAGTGACTCCGCGTGCCAAAATGCGTCCGGAGGCCGCGCCGCAGACCTCGCGACTTGTGCCTCGTCACCATCGTTAATCAGAACGCTCAGTCAGCGCGACGCTCGGCGGTTCTCGACCTCGTCCTGTCACATGCTCTCACTTTCAAAACGGACCGGCGCTGACAGGCCGGGGCAAGTCAGCGGAGTGCCCCCCCCCCCCGAAAATGATCGACGGCAATCCGCCGGTGGGAAAAAGCTCTCGGCGTGCGTTTCGGCGTCTTTTGGGGAAAGCCCCGTGCGCAAATATTGATTCACACTCTGGAGGCGGATATTTATCTTCAGTCTCCCCTTTCCAGTTTGACAATGGCTTCCTCAAGCAGTCTGCTCAACCTTGTTTGTTGCTTCATCTTCAAGCTGGCAAATATTGACACCAAGACACTAATCTGTTGATTTTGTGACTCAAGTCGTCAATGAACGGCACAGCAACGAGCTCAAATGGCTTTTTGTCTTTTTTTTTTTTTTTTGCTCGTACTTCCTCATTTGTGAGGTCGGCACGTGTCAGATGTTAACCCGCAAATGGAAGGCGTCGGCGTTTGGGTCAGCCGAGACGAACGTTCCAATTATCGTCTGACATTTTATTCGATCTTCATCGTTTCTCTGTGGAAAACCGAGCGTGAGAAATCATTTTGACGAATGACTCCTTTCCAATTGAGCGCGCGGTCTATCATCGGCGCCGCCGTGGCGCTTTCTTGAAACGGCGGGAAAAGAAGATGCTGTAAATCACCTCTGCTCTCTCCTCAGAGATGGACGCTCTGCTCATCGTGCTCTACACGCTCATCTTCCTGCTCGGCGTCTTCGGCAACCTGCTCATCATCGTCGTGCTGATTCTCAACAAGCGCATGAGGACGGTCACCAACTCCTTCCTGCTGTCGCTTGCGATCAGCGACCTGATGATGGCCATCTTCTGCATGCCCTTCACGTTCATCCCCAACATCCTGGGGGACTTCATCTTTGGGGCCGCCCTGTGCAAGACGGTGGCCTACTTCATGGGTGAGAACGCAACTTTCTGGCCTGATGATGGATTGCTGATGAGGACGGCATGGGGGGGTGGGGGGTGGGGGGAATTTCCTGAAAACTCCACGTTGGTGGCGTTGGTCGAGTTGCATCCTACCATCGACTGGCTTCTCGCTCAGTTTGCCCTAATGAGGGCAAGCGTGATGCAAATTGGATAGAGGGCCTGGTTTCAAGAATAGCTAACCAGCTATTCTGAAAAAAAATGCCAATGAACTAAATTTAAAAAACGGTGGTCGACTGGTTAGCACGTCGACCTCACAGTGCAGAGGCGCAGGGTTCCATTCTGTCTCCGCCCTTCCTGTGTGGGGTGTGCATGTTCTCCCCCGTGCGCGCGTGGGTTTTCTCTGGGTGTTGCGGCTTACTCCCACATTCCAAAAACATGCAGGGCAAGTTAACGGAACACTCGAAATTGTCCCGCGGTGTGAGTGTGAGCGCGGATGGTTGTTGGTCTCTGTGTGCCCTGCGATTGGCAGGCGACCGGTTCAGGGTGTCCCCCGTCTACTGCCCAAAGACAGCTGGGATAGGCTCCAGCACACCCGTGACCATCGTGAGGATAAGCGGATTAGAAAACGGATGGGTGGATGGATAAATCAAAAGAGCCACTTACTGGTGAGCTGCATTGACTTTTTACTGCTAAATTCGAACTCCCCGTGAGAAAGCATGACCGTGATCAATGAGTGAATGAAAGTTAATAAGGAGGAAGGTCAGTTGAGCGTTTTTTTTTTTTTTTCCAATGCGCATATCCAACTGGTCGTAGCTCGGGTTCATAAAAAGTTGGGGACTCCATGTCTTTTTTATTAAATATCCATGAGTTTCCTATTGTGCTGGGTCCCAACAGACCAGAAACCAGTCTATCAAAAAAATATAAATCAATAAAATTGGAGGAACTTAAATTAGGTGATCAGTCACTTCTCTTCTTCTCGTTTTTTTAAATTTTTTTTTTTTTTAACTACTCACACTGAGCAGCTGCTTTGCATAGCTGAAAACAATGCGGCCATTTCTGGAATCGGTAATTTCACCAAATGGCTCTTGAGCCATTAGTTAAAAGGGAACATTATTTAGAAAGGGAATTTTATAATTGCTTGCATTCATGTAGTTGGGACTCTTGGGTGCCTGCCTGTGTAATTACACAACCACTTACTGTCGCTTTTTTTTTTTATTTATTTTTTTTTTGTGTTCCCCCCAATAAATCAAGCCGGTGAGTTTTGCTGGATTGTAAAATCACAATGTTTGGCTCAGTCTATTCTTTTGACGAGGTCATTCCAGAATTGGAGGACATTTTCCATCCCACACATCAAATTTAAAAAAATTCCACATACAAAATACTAAATGCGCAGTAATTGTTCTTGTCCTGAGACCAAATCTAAAAAAAAAAAAAAACGAGAAAAGAAAGTTTGAAAATAGTTGTGAAAATACCAAATAAATCCAACGAATGCCATGTTTCTCTTGTCCCACCCTCCCAAATTGAATCTCAAAAAAACTGTTCAAACGAAATATATATATATATTACATACTTTATATGTATATGTAGATTTCAGCGAGAAGCCAAAATGTCCTCCAATTCTGGAACGAGAAGTTGATTTCTCAACGTCATGCTTGACACAAGGAAGACTTGTTGTGGTCCTAATTCTATCTGCAGGCGATGGTCATGATGTCCAAGACTGTCGCTGGCAACAGAACCGCCAAAATGGATCATCAATGCGCTGATATGAACGACTCATCTCGACCTACAAATGAAAGAAATTGAGCCTGAATGTATTTTTTTTTTTTTTAAGGAGGGGAGGCTGGGGGGTGTCTAACTACTGCGGCTGACGGCCCCTCAGAAAATCTGCTGTAGCTTGAAAATCCCCCCTGACATGTTCTTGACGTCTAACAAGAAGCCCGGCTCTCAAAAAGGCTTCACGGAGCTTGTCGGAGGCTAACGCCGGCGCTCCAAAAAAGCGCCGACGGCCACACGTCTTCGCAAGTGTGACTTGGCAATGAGCTGTCTCCCGTTCGACCGCAGTTGAGCCGGGAATCCTTGTCAGGCTTTTTAGTCAGAGTGAAGCAAAAGTGATGGTTGACTGGCAATACTTGACATCTTGGATCCGGCGTTTCAGCCTTGATGTCGACTTCAACAATCCCATTTTCAACGAGTATCTGAGAGAAAGCTTGCCGCGGCCCCCGTGGGACAGAGAGACTGATACGAAGTCATGAAAACGGCCATTCCCCGCTGGCTGCTTGCATTCTGGAATCAATATACAGCGAAGATCAACGATTAGGGCTCGTCTCATTTGGCTTATGGCTTAACTGGGTGTTCTGCAACCCAACGCGGTTGCAAAGTAACGAGCGGGGCAAACCTGTTCTGCTGCTCGGTATGTAAAATGAACGGAGTTGTTTTCAATTAGGCAACATTCAGAAGATCTTGCTCAGACACGGAGCCAACGATTTGTGGACCAGCAATCGAAAAAGACATTTTCCTTTTTTTTTTTTTTCATTTGGTTTCGGTTTTTTTGAGAACTGAAACCAGGTTCTTGGCTGAAATGGGGCGGAGATTCAATATCATGACGACATTGTATCAGCGTTAAATGCGCAGACGTTTCACCAAAACGACACCGAACTGTAACGAGTGAAGACCACCTCGGCAGTGCGAGACTTGTTGCCCATCCCAATCATGCACGATCGTTTTTGTTTTGTTTTTGTTTTTTTTTGGACCAGCAATCGAAAAAGACATTTTCCTTTTTTTTTGAGAACTGAAACCTGGTTCTTGGCCAGCTCGAACAACTCGGCTGAAATGGGGCGGGGATTCAATATCATGACGACATTGTATCAGCGTTAAATGCGCAGACGTTTCACCAAAACGACACCGAACTGTAACGAGTGAAGACCACCTCGGCAGTGCGAGACTTGTTGCCCATCCCAATCATGCACGATCGTTTTTGTTTTGTTTTTGTTTTTTTTTTTTTGCTGGTAAGCCTAGTGAACAAAACGTCATCGCCGTAAAAAGATTTCTTTGATCACATGGCTGACTCCGTCTTAGCTCCCCCCC